CCTCACGCAAAGCCCCACCAGGGCCGAAGGCAAAGGAGGCAGGTTGTTCCAGACAGGAACAGCAAACCTGCCTGAACAGCCACCTGCACACTTTTTTTTTTTTTCCCTGATCAGTGAAGACACATTCACCTGTTGTCTTTTTTTACAACCAGGGCTCACTTCTTTAACCACTGTTCTACATTCTGCTTCTTCCTTTCTTCCTCAGAGGGCTCAGTCCCAGTTTGTAACAGACTCTCACTCAATTTTAAAGGCAGTTATTCCAAAAGAGGCACAGTCCTCATGCATCTGCTGTCATCTGGTACACATACTGAGTTTCTATGACATTTAACAGGCACATCGCTCATCCTAAGCGCCCTTCCACTTACTAGGAGTGACATTAGAACAGCTACAGATGGTGCAAACAAAACAAACACAGATTTCACTGAATCCAACAGTCACAGAACCACTTAAATTAAGATGCCAAAAGACAGGAGAAAAATTAAGTACCTGGACTAAGCAGGAGAAGTATCAAGAAGAGAAAAATGAAGAAAATGAAACAATAAGGCTGTAGCTTATCTTATAGCCTATCCTTAAATGATGTTCTCCAATTTCTTTAGGTTCAGGCCTTCATGATCCTTATTTTAATTTATTTCTAGTTTTGCAATAGAGAAATTTTTACCAATTTTAAAATTAAAAATACATGCTCCTTCAGTGTGATCCAACAATAGAAACCAATGTGTTCAGCAAACAAAATCTTTATGAAAGCAGTAAGACCTCAAAAGTGCCATTTGCACTTTTTTTTTTTTTTTAATTGGATCACCAAGTGTCAGTATCATTGACATCACATTTGATGCTTTTAAAAGGTCAAGAACAAATGAATCCAGGTGCAATCCAAAGACCTGTGTTGCATATGTACTCAACTCATTAACAATACCCTCAAAACACTCTCCAAGGAAGTATTCATGAAAACTTTTTCTATAGCATGAGATTTTGTCACACATTATTAAACATCATTAAAAGTGGTCTCCTGTGACGTATGGAAAAACTTCTCAACCACAAGGCAAAATTTCCAAATAAGGGTAATTTTGTTATGTTTAGGAAAATGAGCATATATTAAACATTGTGCAAAAGGAAAAGACTTTATTTATTTTAATACCATATTCGATTTGAAAGTTTCAAGCACTGAATATCAGAAAACCAAACTGAATGTTGCTTTCCTAAATACATCTATATTCAGCATGGAAGCCACTAATTCTTCAGAGAAAACAGAAATGTCTTTTTATCATCTAGTTACTGCTGATAGCCTTTTCAGCTGCCAATCCTTGTTTGGGTTTTGAGTAATCCCAAGGTCTCCTGTTCTCTGTATACCCATACAGCTTCCGCAGTGCCACACGGGCAGCTTCTTCCTCTGCAGCAAACAGCGTTTCACCGGGACCTTCAGCTATAATCTTCTTATCACTTGGGGGAAAAAAAATAAAATTAAAACTATTTTCATCGTGAAATCCTGAGCACTACTGTGTATCATGAATAAGGGCTGCTAGACATTTCTTTCCTCCAATGTCTATGAACACTGGAGGTAATTTCTATATACACACCAATGTAAACATTTCCGTTGGTCTTTCCGGCAAAGATAAGTATTTGCATATTCAGCAGTGGAAATTCAAATCAGAAATGTGTCCGTTTCCTGGAAGAGCACTATTCTGTTCATTTAGATACCTAACATCTCACTGATTCTTTACAGTGCTCAGTCTGTTAGCTGTGTTAAGAATATGCAAATTAGTTACTCTGGTTAGCTTAAAGAAAGAAGTGAAATGTTTCTGTCTTTTCTCCTCCCCTAGCAAGAAAGCATTATAAAACTTCTTCAAGAAGATTCACAGAGAAGTTCTCTGTTATGATGTATGTACTTAGCTCTGTTTATGCAACATCTATGGGTACTCAATAGGAACAGTTTGTGAAGGGACACCAGGGATTCCAGAAGAAAAATAAGCAAAGTTCCTTTCTCTTATATAAGATAATAAATCTTAGAAGGCATATAAACCAAAACATGATAAATCAGAACAAGTTAAGGCAACCTCCCCATGCGTTTATCTGCAGCTCATTTAGCAAAGCAACAGTGATGGGGGTTTTGGTGGAGGAAGGTCCTGTCCTGCTCCAGAGGAGCAATGTTACCTCTGGGCAAGCACTGACCACACCTGAGACAAGTGCACCAGAGGTGAATGGCACTTCCCAAGTCTTACCTGGATACACACTCCTTTTGCCTAGTTTACAGTGCCCATGATTTGAAAACTAAAAACCTTCTCTGGAAGAGAAAATAAATCTCTCTTCAGTCCCACATTCTTTGATGTCTGTGTCTCTCTACCCTTCCCTAAGCTCTGGATGATAGAGTTGTGGTCCCTCCAAAGCCATTCGGTTATGCTATTTGCAAAGTTCCTCTGTCAGGTCACCCAGAACATACACCCACACTCTTTCCTGTGCCTGATTTAGACTTTGAAGCGCTTTAGTCAGAGACTGTCTTTTTATGCATCGTTACAGCAAGCTATGGAACATGCTTAAATGGCTGATTTTACACGGAAGTCGCTGTAACGTTTCTTTCCTGTACTAACTTGACCAAAGAGCAGGAGTAGAAAAGTAAAAGATCATCTTCACTCCTCCCCACCTTAAACCCATTTCACTTTAAATTAATATTGTACTAACCAGTACAACCCAACAAAATACAGTGGTAGAACCGTGCTGACGCCCAACTGCCTGGTAATTCTTGGTTCTGGAGAAGAGATATTCCTCTTGGTCAGTTCTTCCACTAGTAAGCCCATAGGATTTACAACTTCCCACATCTCAAACAGGTCTTTTCCAATCAGCTGGGGAATAAAAAAGTCCTAAACGAGAACATTTAGAAGTTAGAATTAATGGGAAAGGTAATGAAGGCTCTAGCTTCTGGTGTCTCCTAATTAAATGACAATATGAAGAGGCTTTAATACAGTTGACAATAAATTGTTGAAACAAATGATAAAACTGGCTCAGTGCTCCGTCACAGCTGGGCACCGCTACCCAGCACGGCCACGCTCGGCAGCTCTGCTTCTGACGCACCCACTGACAGAGGATGGCAAAGCCAGGCCCAAGGTGGGAACAGCACCGGCCCGAGAGAGGAGCTGTAACGACGCTTGCGCACAGCTCTGAGCTTCCAAGCAAGAAGTTGTGTGCATCAGAAGAGTTCTGCAAGCATGTTGAAGGGAACGTGCAAACCCACAGGACATTGACCTGTTCGGATCACTCTCCTGCCTGTTAACCACTGCTTACTCTTACAGAGACCTCCCAATGGTTTTAACACATATTTCTCCATTGCAAAATTAGAAATAAGTGAAAAGGATGGCCGAAAGGACAGTAGCTGCTAAAACTACTTTGTTACGCTGCATTTTAATTGAACATTTTTGTATTAAATGTTTTCAGGTGCTTGCACATCTATATTCAAAACCTATGAAGGCAGTCTCCACTTTATATAAAATGGGATTTTTTAAAATTAAAGATATTTGTGACCTTACACAGAATAATTTCATTATTTGATACTAAAGTGCATGGAATATAATGCTTTCCTTTAGCAAGTGTCAGCAAACACTAAAATATCACCACTATAAACTAGAGGAATATGATTTTATGTAACTGTGCTTCTTAAAGAAAAAAAAGAACCGACAAATCCAAACCCCGCCAAAACCCCACCCGACCCCCACCACCAACCAAAAGACTTCATTGTTAAATTGTCTTGTTACAGGCACTGTCAAACTTCTACCAATCTCCCTGGATCTCTGGCCATCAAGGTACAAGACAGTATTTCATTTTACCTTTTTTTTTCCTGTAACTGCCAATGTTATTGTTGAGTACAAAAAATACAGATGATAAATAATGACTTACCCTGACAAAGATCCCCGTTTTCTCAGGCCCGCTGCTATCGAGCAAGGCTCCTATTACAGCAAAGAATGTCCTCTGGAGCACATCTGGTGGGACAGGAAACTCTTTGCAAAGCGTCAGATCCTGTATAGACAGGTTTTGAGCCACATAAGAAACAAGTTCCTGACTAGTAAGAAAATCAACAAGTGCTCCTATCCCCTTTGCAGGTAAATCTGGGTAGGCACCTTCAAAGCACTGCGTCAGGTAAGAACGTGAAAAAGACATCCCTTGTTCAGCAAGTTTACTGTTATCTTGTAGATTCAGAGCAACCGCTTCTTTGTCTAGGCCAAGTTCTCGGCGTTTCGCCTCTTCACTTTCAATATAACAAGAATTAACAAATGCAGTCTTGAGAATATCCAAAGAAAAATTTTCCTGTAGCCGGTGGCTAAAAGCTTGTATCTCTGCATGGTAATCCCAGTTGGGCTTCTCTGATCTACAGACATGGAAAACAAATTTAGAAACAGAACAAGAAGTTACCTGTACTGCAAGCATCACGCCTTTGAGATGATCGAAAGGAAATTAAAAACGGAATTGTTTGCGAAGATCAAAACCAGCGTTTAAAAGCCCTCGTGTCAAACACTATAGGCTTGCCTGCCACAGGACGGGCCCCTGACACGTCCAAAAGCGGAGCCAGGCTGACCCGCGGAGCTAAAAACGTTTTGCTTTATGCCCATTTCTCAGCCTGTTGCACTCCCCTCCCCGAGCCCCGCTGTGCGTGTGTGTGTGTGTGTGTGCGTGTGTGCGCTCCCCCCTCCGCCGCCCGCTCCTGACGGCCGGGCCAGGCCGGGCCGGGCCTCACCGCCGCTGCGGCGGCGCCAACAGCCGCTGCTGCTCCAAGTAGGCGCGGAGCCACCGCTTCTTCTCGCGGTGGGGCGCGGGCCGGGGCGCGGGCCGGGGCGCGGTGCTGGGCGCGGTGCTGAGCGCGGCGCGGGGCGCGGGCCCGGCCCACAGCCGCCGCGACCCCCGCAGGAGCAGGCGGGCGGCCATGGCGGCGGGCGCAGGCGCGGTCCGGGCGCTGCCCGGCCCCGCGAGTTCCGGCGGAAGCTGCGGGATGGGGGCGGCCCCGCGTCCCGGGTCGGGAGGCGGCAGCTGCTGCGAAGCCTCGGGGAGAGCCGCGTCTTCACTTACGAGCTCGCAGCTCCTCCGGTTGCAGCGAGTCCTAGAGTGGCGTCACCCGCGGGACGGGGGCGCAGGACGCGGGGCCCCGCCGCCCCTCGGTGTCCGCCCGTGGCACAGGGCGGCGGGAGCCGCGGGACGAGGCCTCCACCAGGCACCGTTTGTCGGGTCCCCACTTCGGGTGTCATTTCCACCCGCAGAACAAAGTCTGATTCTGTGCCTTTAAAAGCAGCTTCACTTTCCCCCTGTTACTAATACAACTCTGTAAAGCCTCTACTAGCTCTAACCCTCATTTGCATCATCAGAGTTCATATGCTACACCTTTAGCTTAGAAGTCATAGTACAAAAGTCTTGAAAATACAGGAAATGTGCAAAGCAGGCCCTTCGCATTGTTGTTCACTAAAAGACAAAGGCTTTTGACGTCGATGGTGAGAAAAGGTGCCCAGCAAACGCCCTAAATAGCTAGTGGAGACTGGCAGCGTGTGACCCACGCTTCCCCAGGGCCCGGCCTCAGCCCCCGGCCCCGCTGCGCCCAGGACAGCGGCTGCAGCCGTCGGGCCCCGCCAGCTCCTCCCAGGCCTGTGCGCTTCCTGAGCCCAGAACTGGCCCTGCGCAGCGGGCCAGGACAAACTGTTCTGGGAGAGGTCCCCTCCCCAGCGCTGTTCTGGCACCCTTGTGCCTGCTCTCACACGCTGGCACTATCAGTTTTCTCACAGGCCCAGGGGGAAGGGGCTGGGGCTGCCACAGCACCACGCGTGCAGAAAGCCAGGGACAGGCAGGGAGGCGGAGGTGACCCCAGCAGCACCGCGCGCGCCTCCGCGCTCCCTTGGGCAGCGGCCCCCAAAAATGTAGCAGATGTGGGACTGAAGAGGGGATGGTTAAACTGGCCACATGACGTGGGGACACTGGGTTAGCTTCTCCTACCTGCATCCTCACCCCACACACCAAGAACAACGCCACAGCGTGCCTGCAGCAGGCTATCGGACGCCCACTGCTGCCTTGGAGTTGTTCAGTGCACCACTACTACCTACTTCAAAGACTGAGAAGTTTAGATGAACCCTTTTGTAATTTTTATTAAAATAATATTAAACAATGCTCTTTTTTTTTTCTTGAGAGAATTTTATTAAATATACTACATCAGTATCTTGCACTCCATAATCTTTTGATCACTCACAGACTGACTTGCTTAAAAATGTATTTTATAGAAAAACATCTGCAAAATTAAAGCTAAAAAAAAATACATATTACACACCTCTGGACAATCTGCATGTTAGCAAACAATTCCTTTTATTATTTGACCCGAACATGTGCTTAAACAAGGAACATACTCATGAAACAGGACACACTCCTTGAATATGGCACACCTCAAACTACTCAGACTAAAGGAAAACTAGTGCAATCATGTTTAATTGCATCTAACAACAAAACATTTTAAACTACTTTTTACTCCTTCGTTTTTATAGTTTTTCCAAACCCATTCCATTTGTTCTCTTCCCACCACAACAAAGCATCCAGTGGTTATTCCTGTGGATCACTGTCTTTACATTGCATGAAGCAAACTTCATATCGGCTGATCCATATTTACACTGAAGCATGCAAAGGAGAATACTGCAAGTATTTGCAATGCAAATCTATTAAGTACATTATAACTGAACAACAGGGTGTCCCTTTAACACTGCAATTCTATAGCCTTTATCTGTGGTGGAAGTTTCCAGTGTATGAATTATAAAACAGCATACAATTCAGAAACAGAAACAAAGAATTTTGAAAACTGTTTGTATTTTCAACTACTAAATCGTTCTGAGAGCTGTGTCTAGCGCCGAAACCAAAGCCAGCTATTGAGTAGCCAGAAAGCTACAGTAATTGAATACATGATCATCTCTCTTTTAGCACGCTCTTTATTTTCTTCTTCCAGAAGTTGTAGACGGCGATTAAGTTTGATTATCTAAAAATAAATAAAGGCTTTTAATACTTCATTAAAAGTTGCCAGACTTTCTAGAAGCTTCTGAGTAGCCATGTAAAATTAGTATCTCAGACAGATGGATTTTAAACGCTTGATAATTTGACTTTCTACCTTCAATCACTAGTGATAAGATCTTGCTGTCCCTAATAAGTAGGAACAGAAATGGAGTTGGAATCTCCAGAAATATAAGTGAGGACAATCCAGCAGGGGTACAGAAAGGATCCCTCACTATATCTTTTATAGATACCTTTGCAACCACACAGAAAACCTGTTTCCCCATTTTACCACTAGAGCTTTTTCTTAATATAATTAGCTACTATGCTTTACATACCTGTCTTCTTAAGGAAGCAGCATCTACAACTGTCATGTCATCTGGTGTTCCCTCAAGTGTAGTATCCAAGTTGGAAAGACCGTATCTATCAAATAAGGGAGATATCTTAGCTGTCTTATCCACGCAGAGATTAGTAAGCATCATATTTTATCAACGTTTTAGTAGATGTATTTTTTGGTGGTGACAGTGAGAATAATTATAAAACTTTTTTTCCAGCTTTTACAGAGTTGTCTATTTCAATAGGATCCTAATTGAACAAAGCAGAAACACATATGAAGTGGGTAAGTGCTTGACTGAATCTGGGTTTATTGCTCTCTACATTTAAATAATTTTGAAGATTCTCCATGCAGACAGACTTCTTGCTGTTACTTGGTCTCTCAAAAGACTTTCCAGTTATTTAAATGACTAATGAAACCTGAAAATTGCCTGAGCTAAATTGCCAAAGTTGCAAGAGACCTGGCAACAGATTAGAAATAACCAAATGAAGACTGGGAACGAATTGGGTGTGTTATACTTGTTACCTACTTAAATATCCCAAGAGGCCACCTTCTGAGATTAACGATCTCAGTCACATTGATCTCAGTATTTCAGAGATACAAGCAGAGATCTTTGCAAATAAAGAGCCTAGTGTGGAGTCACTGCTTGCTGAACTTCACATGCATTAGGTCGTTCCCTCTCAGTTTTCTTAATGTAGCAATGCAGAGAAAGCATTACTCTAACTCCAGGGCAAGTTAATTAAATATGGCACATTTATTATCAGTTCAAAAGTGGCAGAAAGTTTACATAAAGTATGTGTTTTGATCATCCAAATGTTACCTCTTAGCCAGATTCTTTTCCAACAACTAACAGGTAAAAGTAGTTCCTGATGCTGCACCCACCACTGAGATTCTCATTTCCTATCTTAAAACCTCAGTTTCCAATATTAGTTCCCTTTGACTTGCTCTCTCACTAGGACATATGAACAACCGCTGCAAGAAGATTAGGAAATTGAACAAAATAATGTGAAGGCAAACAAAATACACCTAAAAGAATGTTTAGCATTTAATGACAGTTAATGGTCAACTTCAACTAACGTAAATACGAGTGGAACTCCAAGCTTTCAGAATGCACTTAAGTGCAGATACTACCTTTTGCACTGCGTGTTCTTTTATCACTTAAAGCAAACTTCTACAGAACGCCCTCAGCTCAGGCAAGATTCCCCCACACACCAAAAGACAATTTGTCAAAAGTTCTGAATCATATTTCATTAATATATTACTTCTAAAAGAGAACTGCTGTTTCTAGATAAGAGTTGCATTAGTCTGGACTGAGATAACAGTGAGACCCTTGAGCAACACTGTATAAAAGATAGGAAGTTAATTACATGTTGATCTGTGGTTTTTTTTGTGTTGGAGGGCATAATGGGAGAGGGAAACTTTCTTCGGGTGAGATCAGGATAAAACCAGTGTTTGGTAAGGGAATAGTCAAATGAGCAACTGTCTGTCAACAGTGTCATAGCTGTTTTAAAAACACAGTACAGGACAAACTAAAAAGTTCTGGAAACTCCTTTTGTTAGAAAAAGATTTTCTTACTAAGGCTATTACTAATTTTTCATTCTAGAGACTTCAGACATTCACATAACTATAACTTATGCTATTTACTACTTCTAGTTCTTTCACTTTGGGCAATATTAAGAAGACTGAAACTGTTGGGTGGGTGGTTTTTTTGTTGTTGTGTTTTTATTTATTTATTTTATTTATTTATTTATTTTTTATTTCCTCAGTGCTGTGAAGCTCACATTGCTCACTCGACGTTATTTTAAAATAAACTTAATTATAAAACTATTTGAACATTTCTACTGTTTAAAAAAGTCTGAAGCATTGCACACACAAAAAAATAAATCAAGTTTTCCTTACTACTACAGATCCTCTGAAAGCCAGAGATTTCTGAGGAGGGTCTTTTTGTACACATTTTAGAATTTGTAGTAGAAAAAAAAAAAAAGAACAAACATAAAAGTAGAAAAAAAAAAAAATTTAGAAAATTCCACCAGCTCCATAGCAGAGGCTCAATTTCAGTGAGATAGGCACACCTCCCTTCCAGGTCACATAAATTTAATATAAGGTCACAGTATATCACTGCTGCTCTACCAACTTCTAAACCATTCCAGGTACTAAATCAAGAGGGTTAGCGGCAAGAAATCCCCTGAGATAATCTACTGGACCATTAAAAAACCTGAATTCCTGAGTTAGAGAAGACTCACCTGCTTGAATCCAGTGTCTACTTAAGCAGAAATGTAATCTCAATTTTGATGGCAACACAGAAATGTAATTGCAAATAGGAACAACAGATGTGGGACTATTTTTTTTCCTTCATCCTGACCATGAGATTATGTGTCAATCTTATATCCAGTTCCACTGAAACGATGTCACTCTGCCAAGATAATGGCAGTGAAAAGGCATCTAGCTACAACTAACGACTAACCACAGGCATGTTACTGGGAACACCTGGAAAAAAAAAGGTGATGCAAAGCCAAATTTTCTAGCAATAAAAGTATGAAACTCACTATGAAATAGAAGATATTGCTAATGTAATTTAAGAGCCTCCCCTCACACACTACTTTGAGTCAGAATTCTGCAGCACATTGTATCTATTAGACAAGTGAGGTCTTTGCAGGTCACTTGGATGGGTAAGGAAGAAAGGCCTGAAATATCTCAAGCGAAAAGAGAGGGAGGATAGAAATAAGCACTGTGTTTTAAAATAAGGACACTAGAAATCGGGAAACAGAAGCCTTAAATTCTAGAATCTAAATTAGTGGATCATGACTAACAAAAAAATACTCTTTACCTGGTGTTGTCATGATGAGGGTTAGAGGAAGTGGTAGCAGCTGACCCACCACGTAACACTGGCCTACGGCAGGTTTTTGTAGATAGGAAGCACAAGACAGAAACAGGAAATGACAAACAGAAAGAAGAGGTAAAACACACAGAACATAGGAACACCAAAATACTTCCACTTGTATAATGTTTTAATACCATATAATATCTATTTATTTTGTTGTAAATGGTTCTTTCAAATTTCTCTTATTCAAATTTAATCAACCCTGAATATTTATGCAGCTAAGACACATAGGCAAATTGTTGATGATTCAGCTTCACTTAGGGAAGCCAAACTG